GTGGTCAGCTTCGTCAGATGGCTTCTTCCAAGAGATTGTACGAACACTTTGGAACCTCGATTTTGCTCGATCGCTCTCTCGATCGAGAGAGTATTGTAGCACCGGAGGTCGTGTCGTACGTGCTTACTGATCTCTTGGTTTAGAGTCCGCTTCGCCGACGAAGTGACGGGTGGATTTTCACGTCATTCCGTCAGTAACCCTAAAGTCTCTTCCGAAAGCTTTGACTTCCTGCCCTTACGCTGTGTTGCACATAATCTCGTACCCTCTTCCCTGAGGATCCGAACCACATTTTCGAGGTATTGGTTTACGTCTGATGTGGTTTCCACGGCAGAAAATCGGTTCTCCAGTTTTGACTGGAACGTTTCAGATCCTGTTATAGATTGGAGCAGAGTAGGTCGAAGCCTGGATTTCATCAAACGGACGCGCTCGGCCTTAAAGTTGATATTCAGAGAGCCCCGGACGAGTCGGTGATCGCTACCGGTATTGAACCTATTGATCACGGAGACGTCTCTGAATATATACCTCTTGTCCGTCTTTCATGATGAAATCGATCTCATTTTTAGTCATAGTGTCGGGGCTTTGCCACGTACACTTCCTTTGGGACTGTTTCTTGAAGAACGAGTTCATCAAGAAGAGCCCTTCCCGTTCGAGGAAGTTGACGAGCATTTGCCCCCTATGATTTCTGCTTCCAAATCCATGGGTTCCTACTACCGATTCGCTGCAATTCTGTACTCCCACTTTAGCGTTGAAGTCCCCCATAATAACGTTGTAGTGGGTCTTAGTTGTGGAGTGGAGGGCCCTCGATATATCATCGTACATATCCTCCACTTCGTCGTCCGAGTGTGTCGAGGTCGGTGCGTACACTTGCACCACCTTGAGGCTGTACCTCTCGGTGAGCTTTATAATGAGGTACACTACCCTGTTCGACACGCTGGACATTTCTACAACGTTATCGGCAAGGGACTTATTTACCAAAAGCCCAACGCCACCTTGGGACTGTTGGTCTCCCCCGCGGAAGTACATTAGGTGGCCCGATTCGAGGGTTATGGTGTCCTCCCCCTCTCTTCGGACTTCACTTAACCCTAATATGTGCCACCTAATCTTCCCAAGTTCCACCTCGAGTTGCGCCAGATGCGAGTCAAGCGGTAGCGTGCGTCCGTTGTACGTCGCCAGGGTCAGTCTATTGTGGTGGCCTCCCGTAGCCCGGAGATTCTTAGCACACCCCGCCCCGCCGTTACCGTGGTCGCCACCGTGACCAGGAATAGCAGGGCTACCGGGAACTGGGGGCCGTGGCCTGTGATCTGTGTTCATTGGAGGTATTGCCCGTAATCGCCACGCTGGGCAGGCGGGTTGGCGATCGCAGAACGTAGGTTAATTCACTGATGACGCTGCTGCCCGTCATCAGTGAGATTTCCCTCCCCTACGGCATTGGATGGTTATACCGCCATTGGTCGGTTTGCCAGAGCCTCGTCTGTTAGTCGACAGGGTGCACCACGTGAAGGTGAGGTTGGCTTGGGTTCTTGCAGGTGTATTTAGAACCCCTTACACCCCGCGTCTCGGTCAGAAGTCCTAGTTTTAGTAAAGCTATTTCGATCTAGCTCTTTGGATTTAGGTCACGGCAAAAATTTAAGCTCCCTTTCAACTTAATTGAACAATGTTTTCTCTGTATCATAAACTTCTTTCTGATGCACTGGCAACCCAAGTTACAATCTAGTAAAATCCAATCTACTTGCATTATCTTTGTCAAAAGTAAGTGCTCTTTCAATTTATGCGTTTCTTGACGGCCTGCTGCGGTGCCGAAGCGTTACAGTTACGGTGCGTTTGTCGTACAGCGTACGGACCATCCTATTTGGAGTTTACTCCTTAAGAATCGATTTGCATATATAAGGGGCCCGGTATGAGAAAAATGTGAGGAGTAAAATCTACTGAACAAATGACCTCGTTACGTTTTTGTACGCAACCTCATCTGCGCACCTTTCACTTTTAGCCATGGCAACGGATAAAAAACATTAAGTTGTCACAAATGTCAATAAAATAAATTAACTAAAAATAGATAAAATCGGAGCAAAATTAATGAAAACAAATAAATAACAGAATATAGAGAAATGCCGGTAAGTGTCCAGCACTCTGGAATAGTGATTTTCAGTACAGATGGAATTATAATACATATTTACAAAATGATGACTAGTGTGTGATATTTTTGAAATTGTGTGTTTCCAGAAATACATAATAAAATATTATGATGAATATCGATGATGTTAGATGATAAAATGTGTGACATGGAATCTATGGTAGTCGAAACCATGGGCCGATTCCTGAGGTATCTCTACTTGTAACCAACTTCTTCGGACTTGATTTTGTTTTGTGTCTGTTCAAAGACAATCAATCGTTTTTAGAGTGTAAACTCCGGTCGTGCGTCGGAGCTGACACTCACATTTTTTTTTTCATACAAAACGCGCGGTGCGGCAACAGTGCGGCGCCGGTACCGCGAACGCTCGACAACAGGACTGTTGCCGCACCGCGCGTTTTGTATGAAAAAAAAGGATCGCCCGTTCGCTGTACGACAAACGCACTGCTTCGGCACCGCAGCAGGCCGTCAAGAAACGCATAAATTGAAAGAGCCCTAAACAAGTATCATTGATTACACATTTCTATAATATAGCATTATAGACATCATGGTCATTTTAGGATTATGGTAGGTAATTATTGTTACTACATACTACTAGAAAGCTACATTAAAGCTTAAACTTTAACAAAATATATAAAGTTCATTTATTGGTTCCACATAACCAGTAAGTATCTACACCAGAAAACATTACTTTCAAAGTGTTTTGACATTTATCATCCATGGTACTAAAATTTATTTTTTGGGTTTAGAAAAATGATAGTTCGCATATTGGCCCAAAAAAAGATTATCGTTTACAAAACCGTTCTAAGTACACAAAATCAATCAATTTCGTTAATTTGCCTAAAGTAATAAAACAGACAACCTGTGCGTGAATACCCGATCAATAACTAGAATTTCTCATTTTTTTGATCCAGTAATCGAATACCCCCAATTTTTTATAACACGAATGACATTACTAACAAATTGCTTCTTGTTACATAAAATAACCATTGCCGTTGCTATATCTTATTATGCACGTTTCTTAACAAAATCACGCGTGCAGCGTGAGCAACAATTATAACAAAACTGCAGTGTGTTAGGATCAATTTATACTAGTGCAGAGTCGAAGCGCATCGAAGCGTAAAATTCTTCACAACTTAAACGAAGTTGTACGAATGCGTGCGTATTCGCGAAAATACGTTTTTATCAGCAGCAGTGCTATTGCATCTTTCCAGTTGATTTATCATCACAGGCTAATTTTCGACTGATGACACGTAGGTTCGCACCAATCAGCATTGGTCTCGCGCGAATTCCGTCGAATGAGCGCGCGTCTTTTTATATCTCCGAAGTGATGTGTGCCGTCCGCTGTAGAGATAAGGTTGAATTTTTTATGTTAATAATTGGATTTACGCTTCGACTCTGCGCTAGTATAAATTGACCCTTAGCGAGCCCTACGGGACGACTATTTGATTTGATTTAAAACATAATGTTCAAATGGCTTATTCCTTTTGTACAGTTTGTCTATAAAGTCGTGACATTAAATGATGGCGCCACTATTATGCATGTAGCAACCCTATATAGTCTGACCAAAATGATTTTGATACTAGTAGTTCATTCAAGTAAAATAGGTAATTAAGACACACTATACAGTCGTATTTTGTTTCTGTTTCGTATATAGTAGGTTCCTATGCTTATAAAAATTGAACCAAGCATATTTAATTGAATCAGAATAAAATTATTATAGATAAAATAGTACAATATAGTGTACAAGTGTGTAATGTTGGTGATTACCGCTGAGGTGCAAACATTTTATAGTATACATATAAAAAGTTTATTTAGAGAAACAATTTGTAAATGTGCAGTTAGTAAAATTAGTGATAGGTTATCTTCACTAAAAGCATCTGGCCATGGTTCTCTATGTGACCACTTCTTTCTTTGGTCGGCCTTGCCTGTGTTTACCAGGTGTTTCAAACTTTCCATCATTCTTAATAAAACCTTCGTTGACTATCCGCCTAACTGTACTCTCAGATTTTCCTGAAAAAAAAAAAGTAAAAAATATGTAACGGAATAGAAACTATAACTTATTGACATAAAGCTATTAATTCAAAATTGGTAGAAAACCTGACTGAGCTGTACCATCCACCAATGTATTAAAAGAAATGGTCGTACTACAATATTACCTATTTATAATGTCAATCTAACCTAAAAATGTGCAATGTAAACAATACCTTTTCTGGTCTCAAAATCATAAATTGAGTAAATTTGTAACTTCAGGCAGATTACAAACAAATAGTTACATGATTACATACCCGTCATAGATGCTGTTCGCCCATAAACATCATCCAAATCCCACAAAATTAGTCCAGCTTGGTACTCCTCGAAACATCGCTGGAAAACTTTAAAAATCACTTCCCACGTGCCACTCCGATTTACTTTACTCATTTTTATACCTTTCTGCGTAGTTTCGTCTTAATTTATTACAGTTTAATCCAAATAATAAAAAATACAAAAGGAAAACTGTTCCACAACTCAAACTCGATGGCAGCTAATGTACATAAGTTTGGTATTGCCAGACACATGAATAATGATAGTTCCTCAAACATTCATGTCACGACTTTATAGACAAACTGTAGTAGGTTTTATTTCTTTTTTAACTAATATAAGGTGAAAGTGCACGATGCATCGAATGTTTATCAGAAGTAGAGTACTTTTACTTGGCTGTGATAAAAATAAAACGAAAGATATTTTTAACTTTTTAATAGGAATGCCGAAATATCTTGATCGTCTGGTCGTTCATCCTAGTCTAATCGCTGTACAATAAGACATGTCACCCAAAAGTTCCCGATACTGGTAAAGATGAAGAGTAGCATTAAAAATAAAAAACAAAATATATTTTTAACTTTTAATAGGGATAACTTATATAATATGCAAGGGATAGTCCCAAGGTACCTAGTGGTGCGACGCCGATAGCGCGCACCACCCGCTCAATAAATACAGTCAACGGTAAGCATAATCTTAAACAGTGTATCGTCCGCTGGTGATATTAGTCGGTGTGGGGGTGCCGGGCGGGCCGCGGGCGGGGCGGGCGGCGCGGCCGGCGGCGCGGCTAGGACGACGAGCCGGCGCCGAACACGCCACCGCCCACACCCGCGCCCGCGCCGACCCCGCTCACGCCGAGCCCCGCACTAGCAGCGCCCGCTCCCCCCGCGCCGCCGCCGCCGCCACCAGGCGCGCCCGCCCCGCGCGGCTTCGGCATCGGCGGCTGCAGGTACTCGTGCCGCGCCAGCCCGAATACGTCGATGCGCTCCTCCTTGCGGTACGCCAGGCACGCCCGGATGAAGCTCTGTTGACAATTAATATTAAACCATTTATTAAACAAAATCATCAACTGCAACTAGGGTTGCCATTTAGGAATTTCAAAAGTACTGACATTTCGAAGAAAGTCCGGACTTTTTAGTCACAAAATGGTACCATTACTCACGCAGTTACAATGGTATGGTATTTAAATATTAATAAAAATATTTACTTTTATTATTGATATTCAATGTAATTTAAAAAATACGGTCAATTTAAATTTGATCTGGACAAAGTCCAGACTATAATCTAAAAGTCCAAACATGTATGGACTAATCCGGGCGGATGGTCACCCTAACTGCAACCCAAGGTCGAGGTTTTTTATGTTTTACAGGCTGCTACTTTAAGCGAGAGCACGGAGCGGTCGTCCGCTCTGCGTGCAGTTTCAAGACATATCTAAACCAGCGCTACGACTAGAGACCCCTCTTCACGCAGCGCTGCTCTATGGAATAACATGAAACAAACATGCGGAGGTCTGCTCCGCATGTTTGTTTCATGTTATCCGCTCCGTGCTCCCGCTTAAGGCAGCGTAGGTCCTTATGTATCGACCATGGACAAAGAGCCTGCACAAGTTTGTTTCTCTGTGGTTTTTTTGCTCAAGAAGTTTTAAGTCCTCTACGCACTATCCATCTTGCTGGATCCACATTGCGGGACAGCGCTATACGCGTAAAAGGGAACCTGTATCTCCATCTGTTTTACGTGTATAACGCTGTCCCACATGCTGGATCCAGCAAGATGGATAGTGCGTAGAGGACTTTACGCTACTTATGCCTACATGAAAAATTCTATTTGGTACAGCCATAGATATAAGTAATGGACTGAGTGACACTCTCATGAAATTGACATCTCCCTAGAAAGAGAGAAAAACCAACAATATATAACCGAACTACGAACCTTTGTCTTTCACTAACTTATCTACCTAATTTTACTTGACATGGTATTGCGCAATCCATTCTCTATGCCTATGGGAACAGTTGCAGGCCTTCCCTTCTTTAACGATGGTGTACAGAGAACGAGCATTAACCCACCATGCAGATTGTCGAGTGCTAACGACTGAGAACCATTATTTTATTAACGCATAATACGCTAACGCATGTTCGCATGGTCCTAGGATGGGTGACAAACAATCATCAACAACCTTACATCATCTTAGTCCACTGCTGGACATAGGCCTCTCCAAATGCACGCCACAGATCGATCTTGGGCTATTTATCTTGACAAACAATAATTATCTAAAACTCCTTTGTGTTTGGGACGGACGTTAAGCTGTTGACCCCGGCTGAATATGCAGCCATTAATAAACCACTAATCCGTACTGGGCCGGCGGAAGATCTATGCCCCAGCAGTCGGGAAGGCTGCTAATGATAGCCTGTAAAAGATTTGCGAAAATAGAATGTCAAGTTGAGACTATGCAGAGCAATCGTGCGTTAGCAGTGGAAAAAGGGAATTGGATATTTTAACTCTTTAAGTTAAAAAATCGAAAGAACCACATAATTTGCACTAATTAGAAATAGTTATTGTAAAAACTCGATGGCGCGGGTGGTTAGCACGTTCGGCCTGCGTTCGTGGAAGTTAGCAACTTTCTCAATAGTCGGTCATTGGATGATGAATCCGCATGGGCCCGCGTAATCATCAGCGATGAGGGTCATGACATGGCCCAACTCCCTTTTCCATCTTTAAGAAAGGCATATGTCTCAGAAGTGGGGACATTAATAGGCCAATTAGAATGATGATTATAAGAACTAACCTTAGTCTCATTGCTAACTGTGGGTTTGTTGGCAAACTGCACGTCCCGTCATCTTGAGTATGATGTTCTCCTCTAGAATGGTGACCTGGCTTTGGTTGTGGCCGAACGGCTTCTTGCCGTACACGCACTGGTAACTCATAATTTGTCACTAATTATAATAAGAACTAACCTTAGCCTCATTGCTGACTGTGGGTTTGTTGGCGAACTGCACGTCCGTCGCCTTGAGTATGGTGTTCTCCTCTAGAATGGTAGCCTGGCTCTGGTTGTGGCCGAAAGGCTTCTTGCCGTACAGGCACTGGTAGAAGATCACGCCCACACTCCAAACGTCCACCTTGCTACTGATCTTTGGTGGGTTCTTGCCGACTACGAAGCACTCGGGCGGCAGGTACCTGAGGGACAAAGATTTCATATTGTTATAAGGTATAACAATAATAATAATAAATAATAATAAAAATCTTTATTGGATAAATACCAGAATACAAATCACAAGGGCCCCTGAATCCTAAAAATATAGGATTAACCTGTGTATTAGGTATGTAGTAAAAGCTTTAAATATAGCTTTGAAGATTTCTCATTTATGTTATAAGGGTGGCAAGCAAGCTTGTGGCAAGCAAGCTTATGGCAAGCAAGCTTATGGCCTGCCTGACAATAAGCGGCCACCATAGCCTATAGACGTTTGCGATACAAAAAATATCACTCGCGCCGCTACCTACCCTGACCCCATCGCCTACCCCATGGAGCCCTGGAACCTTACTCACCGACAGAAATACAACACCACCAAAAGGTAGTGTTATTTTACTGTAGTCTACTGTAAGGTGGAGGTTGCATCCCAAGACTGGCGCTCTAATTCCAGCGGGAAATCCGCTATGCTCTACCTCTCTCATCTTAAATAGCATTACCTATTTGTATTAAAAATTCAAGGCAATTAGCAATTCTGACCCGCATAATTGTTAAAGGTGTCAAATGAAAAAAGCAAGTCAGGATCGCAAAATTAAATAGGCTCACATATCAGTTGTGCAAAAAATATAAATTATTATAATATTTATTTATCACCAACATTATGTTAAATGTTGCAACAAAATTCTATTACTTTGTTTCTTAGGTTTTCACGCACATCACTCATTAAATAAAACTAGTTTTTACGGGTTAATGCACGAAACTTTATTTATTTATTGACGTTTCGTAGCCTTTACAGGCTACGTCGTCAGAATCAAACTTTTATTTAATTTGTCGAGCTACCTTCGAAAGACTTTTATTGAGCGTTCGGTTATTTCATCGTTCGATTTTTAAAGTTTTAAACGTCAATAAATAAGTAAAGTTTCGTGCATTAACCCGTAAAAACTAGTTTTATTCTATTACTTTTCTACTTTTACATAATAAAAGTGAAGTATGAAATGTAAAAGATACGTGTGCTAGTTCAAAGGTCACCCCAACCGTACACTATCTCGTTAGTACAAATATTAAAACAATTTGTATTGAAAAATATAAATTGGAAAAATTACCATATAAGAAAAGAACTCTCACACAAAGGGGTTTCTACACTTGGTCTGGACGTAATGTGGTATTTGACAATATGAGAAATAAAGTACCAATTGTTGGCATCTGTATTTAAATGATTATCAGCAGCGATTTTACTATTTAAAAGAACAAACAGCTATCCCTCGAGAATCATTATATTGAATGTTTTTTTTCTTCTATGGGCACGTGACCGAAAACGCCTGGGATTGGGGAATACTTAAATGACGTCACACGCTAGTAAACTTCCGGTCAGTGACATTACACTGTATAGTTTGAGTTTTAATGACAGTCGTGTGACGTCTCACACCAGTGAAGCCATAATGACCAGAGAAACGTTTTCGCGGAAATTGAAAATGGAATTTTTGATTAGTATTTACTGAAATACTGAACAAAATTATGAATATCCACTTGTTATGATCTACGTAAACATTAGTAAATAACGTAAGATAATTTTTTAAAACCTTATAAAATAGCCTAATATCTGCTAGCAGGGTCCAATTAAAATAATAGGAAACAAAGCGCTATTACGTTTAAACTAATGTATGTCATCACAAGTTCAAACAGGCAGATTGTACCAGTTAGCAACACTTTAGCCTTATAATCTTGTTCAACCTTTGAGAGTCCTGTATGAAGAAGTAAAGAAAGAAAAAATACCATGTATTGCATTATGCAATACATGATATAAGAATTGAAGAAACTATATGCAGATGACTTTATAAAAAAAACCTGCTGGCTGTCCCTGACTTTACCTAACTGTAACCTATATTTGATAACTAATATTTAAATATTTCTTAGTAAACATTGTTCACAAGATGTAATATACTGCATTACAGTCATTTAAGATTTTGCGGGTATTCAACATTCTAATCTCATTTCTTTAACTATCTATTGCTCATAAATAAGCTCAAGGAATATCGTAATTGATATCACTGTATTTTATACTGTTAAATCAACTCTAGGTATTATATGCGTCGAACCGTTATTCGAGACCTATAGAGTGAGACAGCATCTCTTCCGCTTCGCTTGAACAGCCTCCTGGAAACCCCGCCACGTCACTTCCGGCGACACAAGTGAGATGGAGGGGGGTATTGCTTGTCACAGGCAGCTATGATTTGTCTCGTCACATTGGCATCGACTTTCGTCGAGTGCACACCTCCAGTTAAAACAATGTTGTTGTTCGAAAAAAATATATTTATTTAAATTATTAAAGTGTTATTATAATAGTTTGATTTTGTAAAAATCTGCGGAAAAGTATGGGTAAAAGTCCTGAGCGGGCTCCTAGGCCCCGGGATCTTACCCCAACGTCCGAGCACGCTTCTAGGCCTGTCGAGCAACCACAGGTATCTCGTCAGGCTTCTAGGTCACGAGAACGGAAAAATAACCTACCTACGCGGGCTTCTAGGCCACGAAAGCGTCCACGTCGTGTGAGTTCGTCGTCGAGTTCTAGCTCGAGCGGGACTCATAGTGGGTCAACATCATCATCATCATCCAGTCGCTGTCGCAGCGCATCCCGGCGGCATCAGTAACGGAAACGGCGAGTAAATAGTGATAATTTTGTATCATTGACAAATCAAGTGAGTAAATCTACAATTATTTAAAAAGTCAAAATCATTTAAATTCGAACAAGCCACAAAATAATAATGATACTGTTTCAAATGCATTATCATTATACCCTACGCCGGAATTTACAAGTTCTTTACTTTCGAGTGAGCCTCTTTTAAAGAAGCCTAGACTAGAGAAAAAGATTGATTGTAACATCAATACTAATTTAAAAGAGGCGGCAATCGATAACGCGTCAGAATCAAGATTGAGTATTTTGTCTAAATTACATTATTTTGATACAAATGATTGGGAACGAGTTCGATATATTGATACGGAGAAAAAGTATCTTGCAAGACCAGGCTTTCAAGACATGGATGTTAATACTGAATTAAGATTTTATGACCCTGAATCTTCTTGGCTGAAATCTCTTGACCGCTCTTACGGTGCTTTAACAGATGCAGTTATACAACAAAATGAACTGTTTAAGAATAATTTGCAGAATTTGGTAGAATGGTCTCACAAACCAGACACCATTTTGTCGTCAGATTCGTTATTTGATAAACTTAGTGAACTTTTTTCCGAAAGATCTCAGTATATTAAAGAGTCCGAGGACATACTCCAGCTGGTTTGCGGAAGACGAGCTGACACTATACAAAAAAGGCGCGATAGTATATTATCAAGTGTAAAAGACCGGTACATTAAAGAGGATTTGCGGAAAATCCCGCCTACCCGCACTACTTTATTTAATCCAGAATTAATGAGCAGTTTTTTATCAAAAGCGGGTGGAACCAACAAGATATTTTATAATAATAAGCGCTCAAGTAAGAATAACGTTTCCCGTGCTAAACGGCTGCGAAAGCCGGCAGCTCGTGATCGTGACTATGACGATAATGACACTACTGGTCCAGTTCCGTCATCAAGTAAACATTATGCTTATAATAATAATAATAAAAACAAGAAGGTTTTCAAAACCAATTTGAAGCATCGTGACATTCGTGACGTGAAAAATAATAATTCTCATAACAAAGGCAGTACTCGATTTCGCAAATGACATCAAGCAAAACTCGTTTTACGGCGGTTGTTTAAAAGATTACATAGAAAGTACAAAAGAATTAAAAGCTCCAGATCATGTTTTAAAAATAATAGCGGGTTATCGTATCCCGTTTCACAAAGTACCGCCATTAATCAGTCACAATCATTTGTTAAAATATCAGACCCCTACAAGTGTGGCAATGTCAAGAGAAATTTTAAAACTAAAAAATCTAAATATTCTAATACCCGCACCGCCGACTCCGAGTTTTGTTTGTCCGATATTTCTTGTGAAAAAATCAGATACCAGCAACAGACCAATATTCAACTTAAAGAATCTAAATCAGTTCCTTGTTCAGTTTAAGTTCAGACCACAGACATATAATACTATAGCAGACGGAACATAAAAACCTAGTTATATTTATGAATCAAAACATGATCTTTTATCCTTTTTACACTCAGCTACAACTCTATAGTGGCATCTCATTCTTCCATCTATTGCCACAATGACTCACACATCAACAAATGTCAACGCGTGTCATTTTTATTCCTCGCCGCCAAGGACGTATAAAAAAAGGCGGACAGAATTTCGGCTAAGACAAAAGTGAGGCACCGTAATGGCGGCGGTTATCTATGAGTGAGTGAATGCAGGGTTGCTAGGTTAGCCAATTTTTTACCAATAAAACACAGTAAAAAGATCAAAATATTTTAATTGTTCAAAATTTTACCCGACTGCGGTGGATAATGTTTTTCGAGCGTGTATGCATGTATGTATGCCCAATAATAAGGCGCCAAAATGAAACCTTTAGAAAAAAAATGCTTATAACCCGTCAAGCGAGGTATCAAAGTAAAGGGTCTTAAAAGAATGCAGTGGATCCCCGGTAGTCCGACAAACATTTTGCAGGGCAGTGTCGAACTATCGAATTTGTCGGATTATAGAGTACTGCCTAAGACCCCCTATAGTCCGATTTTTTTTACAAAAGAGTACCTTGTAATCCGACAAATTACAGATCCAATGATAAGATTACAAAACATACTTTGTTATGTATGTCAAATTGAGTAAATTAAACAACACAATAGAAAGATTATGTTTTATTATAAAAGTAACGTCAAATGCTATAGAATTTACAAAAAAATATAAAAAACAATACCCTACGCGTCGAGCACAATTGTGATGGTGCGTACAAGTTGTAACTTGTTCAATCGTGAATTAGCGAATACTTGTATGTAATAGACGATGTCGGATTATAGGGGGTGCCGCATTAGCCAGGGGCCGGATTACCGGGGCTCCACTGTATTT